AAGTGGTTTCAATAGTTTTGAAATGCTGTCAGTTTTGTTGCTTCAAGGATGAGGAAATCCATCCAAGAACCACTGACTGACACAGTCCACCTTAGAGTTTCCATTCGCCCAGATATATGCTATCAACACTTGGCTGGGCTAGTTGTACAGTTTGCTTTACCCTCCTTCCTCTGCTGTGGTAGCAGATGTCCACTGCATTCCCAGTGGACTGTCATATCCTCCATATGCATCTGGATATGCCATCCACTACGCTGCCTTAGCTATTGTGGAGGCCCACTTCTGATACTTGCACTCCACAGTCAGTCCACTGGTCCTAGGATTCAACACACAGTTGGAATTCTAAGTGCAGTGGTTCAGTTGGGTGAATCCCACAGAGACTTCATCTCTGCTGAACCCAGACCTGACTCTGTGTGTGCTTGCCAGTACAGGGTCTGGCTTAGTCTGACAACACATCAGGCTGTGCTGGGTCAGTTCTGTGTCAAGCCCATCTCTTACACAAACGAATGGATGCTTCATCCAGCCCAACACAGCCCACTACACATTTGATCCTCAAACATACCAGCAGGAACTGTAGGCTAGTCAGAGTGACCCCCCAAAATCACCATCAGTGTACTTCTCACTATGTGCAGCAGACTGGTCCTGTCTGACACCATCCCATTCAGCTCTTGTATACATCAAAGGGCCTTTTAGCCTAGTTCAACCCAACGAACACCATTATCCAGCCACACTCATTCCAGTAGATGCCACTGCTTGGCCAGACAGTCCCACCTGCAGCCCTGCTTCCCATGGTTACCTGTGGGAGTCACAGCTCATTAGAGAGGAGCCCACAGTTTCCCTACTGGGAGATCTTGCACTTTCCTGGTGGTTCTGCAGTCTAGCTTGACAGCAGTTGCCCCTAGTCCCAGCATTTGCCAGCCCTGATGCTGTGGCAAAGCCCGGGCAGCCTGCACTTCTTCTGGCTCATGCATGCACAGTGTTTATAGTCACTTAGTCTTGCTGCCTTTCCCAGCTCACATGCAGCCCTATGGGTATTGGTCTGGCCTGGTCTGCCCTCAGTCCCAGTTCTCACTCCAACTGCTGCCACCCTATCACGCTAACCCACCTCTCCCTGGTCTCACATGTACTGGTGGGTGCAGCAGCCTGATATGGCATGCCCTGCTTCACCTTGGCATTTGTCAGCTGATACTGCAGCCTGGCCTGGCATGTTTTGTGCCTAATTCCAGCTCATGCTGTTGGGAACTGCAGCCTAGCCTAGCCTAGCCAGCCCTCAGTCACAATCCTAAATGTGAACTGGCTGCTGTTACAGCCTGACTAGGCCTGTCCTGCACCCTGTCCTGGTTCTCAGCTTTGCCAGTGGGTGCCAAGAATGGGTCCAGCCTGGCCTACCGCCATATCTGAGCCACAGGTATACTGGTGGGTACTGTAATCGGGCTTGGGCTGGGCTGCTCCCTGCCCTGGTTCTTGTGCTTACCTGCAGGGACTGTGTCCTGACGGAGGTGTTCCCCAAGCTCCTCTATCAGGTCTCCTCCGAATTCTTTCATAAAAACAGAAATTGCACCATCACACGTGTGTTCTCAAGTAGTCGGAGGGTTCCTGGCTTGAAGAAAAGATGAGACTTGCAGTTAGATGACGATACATTAGGAGACCTTAAACCAACTTGAAACAGGAAAAAATTGACATAGTGGCAGACTACCCATACTATATGTATGATTAGAGAAAAGCATAATACGCAACAGAGAAGTAAGGATAAGTTGACTTGAATTTGAAAAAGAAAATCTCAAGGAGTTACTTTGGGATGAAACCATCATCCTCACTGCTAACACTCTCCTCAGAGATCCACACAAATGAATCATTGCAACTAAGGAAATCCAAATGCATGGAGTATCCTAATGCATCAATGAAAAACGTCCTCAGGTGAGACGAATTTAAACAACAACAAAAAATCTTTCAAAAGCAGCTGGAAGATGGCCCCAGTGCTTGGGCCCATACCCCCCTTAAGGCAGACCCTGATGAAGTTCCTGACTTGGGCCTGGTCCAGCCCTGATCTTTGAGCCATTCGGGAATAACAGGGCAGATGAAAGATTTGTCTGTCTCTCCTGCTCTCTCTGCAATTCTTGCCAACAAGTACCTGGTGAACTTGTAGACAGCGCTGTTCCTGGCTCCCCAGCAGGTGGCGGCCCCGCGCCCTGGCCGCACGCCCGCTGCATCCCGCCGGCAGCACAGAGGCTCGCGCGGCCCGGGAGCGCGCTCGCCCCGCAGCTCGGGCGGCTGGCAGGCGGGCTGGCGCCGGTCGCGTCGGCCGGCAGCAGGGCCCATGTGGAAGCTCCTCCCGGCCGCGGGCTCAGCCCGAGGTAAGGACAGAGAGGGACAGAGGGCCCGGGTTCGGAGGAGCGCCAACGCGGGGAAGGAAGTCGGGGAGGGTCGCTTCCGGTCCGGTCCCCTTACCTTCCGGCGCACGGCGGAACGGGAAGGAAACCGGGGATCGGGCACGCGCGTGGTGGTCCCGGCTGCGCCGTGGCGGGGAAGGCCGGCTGTCCTCGGCCCCGGGGTTGGGCGGGTGGACGCCCGGCCCTGTCCCGCGCTGTGCAGTGGCCGTGGGACCCCGGCGCTGTGCAGTGGGCATGGGCGGTGGGGCGGCTGGCCCTTCGCTGAGCCCTGGCTGAGGTGGCTGAGGAGAAACAGGTGCACGGAGAAGCTTTCTGTTGTTTCAGACGCGTTTCCTTGCTGTCAGCAAGAGGGGACAGCCCAGACGTTTTCTTTTTGAAAGAGACACCAGAATTTTGCATCTCCGAGTTCACTGGCCTAGATGTGTCCAACACTGGGGCTGGTCAGGCCCAAGCCAGGAACCCCGGGATGCAAGGGCCTCAGTTGCTGTCTGTCAGAGTGCGCCTTGGCGGTGCTGGGCTGGACCCCCTGCACAAACCTGGGATGCTGGTGTCCCAGGGGAGCTGCAGCAAAAGCCAGGCTACTTCACCCCGCCCCTTTCCTGTGTGTCTGCACTTCTCTAGTGGAAGTTGCTAGTTGCCTGCCTGCTGTTTGTGGTCCTTATTGGCTGATAAAAGAAAGGGTAAGCCGGGAAAGCCATGATTGCCTGTGTGCTCAGGGTGTTCAATTGTGAGGCAGTGTTGACTGGCTATGTAAGGAGGATTAAAAAAAAAAGATTTCTTAATTTCACTTGAATGAGAGCAGGAAAGACAGAGAAGTCCTCAATTCTCGGGATGGCCTCCATGGCCAGAGCTGGACCAGTGCATAGCTGGCAGCTAGAAGCTTGTCTCATTTGCCCTACAATGTGGATACACGGGTGCAGGAAACTTGGGTCATGCTCCACTGCTTTCCCAGCCAGAAGCAGGGAGCTGGATGGGAAGTGGAGCAGCTTGGGGTTGAACCAGTGCCCACATGCGATGCCAGCACTGCAAACTGAAAATTAATATGATCTGGCCCCTGAAGGACTTTTGTAAACACCAATACAGGCATTCCTATGAACTTGGACCAGTGCAAGGCCAGACCATAGAGATTTCAGTTTGTCTCGTGGCTCTCAGGGTTCCTGTGGATGTGTGGAAAGCAGACAGATCTGAGACAAATTGAGTTTGGCACAGCATACCTGAGGAAAGGCTTCATGAATCAAGGTGTGGCCCGAGCCAGTGGAGGTTGAGAGAGCAGTACCCAATGAGACCATCCAGGTCCTCTGAGGTCTTGGCCACACCTTCAGGTGGGTGGCACCAGCATTGCCCACCCATTTCTTAACTAATCAAGAGATCACCAATGGGGAACATCTCACCTGTAGGTTCCCCGCCCAACAAGGAGGGGTCAAGGAAGGCTTAAAACCCCTAGACCCTTTCTCAAACCTTTGGTGTCTCTCTCTCCCTCCTCTTTCGAGAGCACCCCACCTCCCGGCTTCTCTTCCGGAGGTGCTTCCCCTTCCTTCCTTCCCTGCTCCCTGGTCCCTTCGCAAATAAACTTTTCTGTTTGCAACAGATTCCCGGCTTTTTATTTCTATACTAAGCTGAGGAAAGAACCCACCGGGCATTTCTGGTAACACCCAACAGTCCAGCAGACGGTAGGAGGTGACTTCCAGAAACAGCGGGATTGGTTAGTTGCAGCTCACTGTTGGCCTGGTCTGAGTGTGCAGTGAGAAGGCATTTGCCCTCAGGACCTGGTCTGAGTAGGTGACAGGCTGAGACTTAGCCATCTGTTACAGGGATAGCACTGCTCAGGGCAGGCATTTGGCACTGTGTAGCAGGGCTAGCCTGGGAGTCCTGTTCAGCCTGTCTCCAGCTGTTGGCTAAAGTGCACCCTTGGCCACAGCTCAGAGTTGAATTACTGCCACCTGTGGACAGACCAAGTTTGAGTCCTGGGCTCAGATACCCTGGATATTTGGGCAGTGAGTCAGAACGTGTATCCCTGTCCCCCAAATAAGTAAAGTAAAAATTTACAAACAAAGAATAGGGGCTGGTGTGATGGCTCAACTGGCTAATCCTCTACTGTTAGCACTGGCATCCCATATGGGCACTGGTCCTTATCCCAGCAGCTCCACTGCCCATCCAGCGCCCTGCTTGTGGCCTGAAAAAGCAGTCCAGAACGACCCAAAGCCTTGGGACCCTGCACTCAATATGAGAGACCTGGAAGAAGCTCCTGTCTCCTGGTCTCAGATCGGCACAGCTCTGGTATTGTGGCCATTTGGGGAGTGAACTAATGGATGGAAGCTCCAGTCAAGTTCATATTGGGACTTTACTTGGGATTTCAGTAAATGTATACTTTGGGAAAGCAATTCCTTTCACTGTTGTTATTCCTTGAGAGAAATGGTATGCCCTTGCATTAATGTAGGTGATCTTTTGATATTCCTCAATAAGGGTTTAATAGAAAATGGGGGTTTAATTTATGTAAAACTGATTAACATTGAAATAGCAAACTAAAATATTTTCTTGGCATATCATGAATTTTATCCTATATAATGTACACATTTATGTATGTGTGTTTGTGTCTCATTTTATTCCTCTTAGAACCATACAGACTTTTGACTGGCACTGAGTACATCGTTGGAAGGAAAAACTGTGCTATTCTAATTGAAGATGATCAGTCAATCAGTCGAAATCATGCAGTGTTAACTGCTAATTTTGCTGTGACCAACTTGGTATGTTCCTGATTGTATTTTGCTAGCTTGCCGTGAGAGTTGAAATCAGTATATTGCCTTGATGTGAGAGAGAGAGCTGTTTGAGCATTTTATGCTTTTGTTTCAGTGACTTAGAAACTTGGAGAAAGTAGGTTGTATTTGTATTTGTTTACTTAACAACATTGACTGTTCCCTGGTGAGAGTTATTGGGCTTAGCTGTGATACATTCCTGATGCTCGCTCTTAAAGAGAGTATGTGACTGATGGACACAAAGTCTGGGTGTGTAAAGGGAGGCTCCACAGTGGGAATGACAGTTTTCCCGGGGAAGACAACTGTTGCTTCTGATCCACAGCTCTTTTGAATGGCTTGGAAGGTATTTGTTAGCTTTCACCAGAACCACGGGTGATGAGAGTGATAAAAATATGTGAATAAATACGTTCAAAATCATCGTGGTAGGAACAAGAAAGTGAAAGTAAGCAGTTAGTTTGAACAAATGTGACAAATGCACAAGTGATGGATTAGTTTACTGGCATTTAGGTTTTGTGTCTATTTGTGTTGTAGAAAAGCATTATTATAGAAGTTGCAATAGAAAAAATAAAATTATTACCAAAAATCAGAACCTCTAGGCTTTATGCCTTGTTTTTACTCGCCCAGTGTTTACCATGTGCTTTTGATAATGTAAACAAAGCAAAACGAAAACGTAGGACTGAAGCTGTCATGTTATGCATGAAGCAAACTGCTGCCAATCATAAAATTCTCAAGTGTGTGAAATGGAAGGGTTGGGAAAGTCCCAACTGATTTACAGAAATAAAGAAAAATGTGTGTTCCAAGAGTTATAATTCTGAAATTCAGAGATTTTCTTGAAGGGAGATATTTATGTTAATTGCTAATTAGTCCTTTGAAGGCAGCCAGAACAGTAGCTGTCATTCCCTGTGGTGGCAGGATATCCAGCTGTTTATTATTTTACCCTTTTCAAAAGTTATCAAATGTCTCCTGTGAATCATCTCCCCCTGGATTGTATGTACTTGAGCTGTAAAAGACTTGTAATTACTTCTCTAATTTTCAGAGTCAAACTGATGAAATCCCTGTATTGACAATCAAAGATAATTCTAAATATGGTACCTTTGTTAATGAGGCAAAAATGCAAAATCACCTTCCCCAAACTTTGAAGACAGGGGATAGAGTCACCTTTGGAGTGTTTGAAAGTAAATTCAGGTATGGATTTGTTTATTTAATTTTTGTTGTTAAAGATTTACTTTTACATGAAAGGCAGATGAACAGAGAGAAGGAGAGACTGCCTTTACTAGTTCACTTCCAAGTTGCCACAACAGCCAGAGGTGGGCCAATCTGAAGCCAGGAACCAGGAGCCTCTTCTGAGTCTCCGACATGGCTTAGGAGTCCCACAACTTTGGGCTTTCCTTGACTGCCTTCTCAGGCCACAAGCAGGGAGCTGGATCCACATTTGGGAAGCTGGGGTATGAACTGTTGCCCATATGGAATCCTGGTGGAAGCTTAGTGTACCAAACCAGTGGCACTGGCCCCACACTTTTTAAATTAGATTAAAGTGGACAATTTTATCTCACAACAATTGAATTTTAAAGCAAAGATAAGGATTATAAGATGAAGTATAATTGACTTCCCGTTTAGTACAGTAGTGAACTCTGTGTGGTTGGTATATTTTGTGGATCACAGGTGGGGGGTGACAGGTGGGTAAAAGTTTGTGTTAGTCCCTGTGAGTTGTGATAGGAGCCTCGTTTGTTTGATGCTTCATAAGTTAAAATGTAATGTTGATGTTGGCCATGTCTTTTTCTTCTTTGGGAACACAAGATTTAGGAGGTAAGAATTTCCTAAGTTACAAATTTATAATGTGTCAAAATTAAATGAATAATATGTTGTAAGCTTAAAGTTGTAAAGTATTGTAAAGTTGTAAAGTCTTTGTAACTGTGATAACGTAACTTTATTGTCATTCACAGGGTAGAGTATGAACCTTTGGTTGCCTGTTCTTCTTGCTTAGATGTGTCTGGGAAAACTGCTCTAAATCAAGCTGTATTGCAACTTGGAGGACTCACTGTGAACAGCTGGACAAAAGAATGTACTCACCTTGTCATGATGTCAGTGAAAGTCACCATGGAAGTAAGTTGAACTGTGTTCCCATATTAAAACAAGTTCTGGGACCTTGAGTGAACTCACCACAGCACAGAGTTAGCACCATGTGTCTCTTCTGTCAGATTGTCTTCCTCCAGTCTCTGACATTGTCTCATGGTCTCATGCTCAGTTAAGCTGTAATCACACAAAGATTTCTTTGCTGTATCTTTAATGCCCTGAAATGTATGGATATGTACCTTCCAAAGATGCTGACTATTCATTAAAGCAGTGATGTATTTTGGTATATTTTCAGGTTTTGCATTTTCATCAGATTTGATATATCCAAAGGTAATTGAAGAATGGCGTTTAAGATGTGATTTGTTAAACAGGCTGACTGTGCAAAAGATATGTGGGATTGTTTTAGGCTGTGTTTGAAGATGCAAAAACCTTTTGTTATAATTAATTAAATATTAGTGTTATATTCTAATTTATATATAAATGGCTCTTATGTGTGTACATATATGTGTATGAAATAGCTGTCAAAGAGAAAGGCTTTTTGCCCAGATTGAACCTGAAGTTAAATTTGTACCATGGTGAAGTTACCCTGAACAAAGATAGTTTCCTCTTGGAAAATTTAGGACATTGATTTTTTTGCTGCTGCAGCAAGACTAACTTAAAAAATACTCATGTTGATAAACTCACAGGTAATAGATTCATAAAACATTTGTAAAACCAAAATTCATATGCATGAGGACCTGATATTTAAATGTTAGCTCAGCATAATCCCCCTGAAGATATTAAGTTACTTAAATGGAGTAGGTAATGATACATGGGTTTAGAAGGCCTGAAATAAGGTCAAAGATGCTTTGATTGTCTTGGGAGATTTTGCCAAGTCCTCAGAGCTGGACACTTCTAGTACCTGACATGCTAATGACCACCATTAGAGACACCACCATGGAGTGTGCAGCGTTTCTTCTTTGGTGTTTCTGATTGCTTTTTGCGAAAAATAAATAAAATAAAAATAAACCCTGGTCATTATATTATTTGTTGGTCCTCTTTCCCAAAGTATATTCAGGCTTATAGGTTTTCCCTTAGTTGTGTTTTGTTTTGTTTAGATTATTGAATGTTAGAACCAGAGGGAAACCTGAGGAGTGTTTAGTTCAGCTTTTATATTTTGAAGAGCAAATTGAAGCTTGGAGCAATTACGTGCTTTGCCTGGAATCGCATGTGTTGGGAGTTTTATTCAGTCCTGTGTTGATTGCATTTCACTACTTCCTGTTGGATTTGGATGATCTCATTCACATAGGAAGTTGGGATCTGGCAGATTCCAGTCTTTAGAGATACCCTCAATCTGGTCGCTCCTAACACCTGCATTATTGAAAACATATGTATAAACTGTATAGTTGGATTATTTCCTAGAATATGCCAGCTCTTTCTTATTTTAATTGCCCACAGTAGTATTTTCTAGTCCTTTCTGAGTTTGTGGATGTGTGTTACTTGAGGCTGATAGCTTGATTCACGTTAGTTCACAGTTTCGTTCTCTCTTTATGTGTGCATCAGCTTCCACTGAGCCTAACCAGTTGCTCCTTGATTTACTGTGTTGAAGAGGCTTTATTCTATACTCTTACTCCTTCTGAAAGCAGTAAGGCTCCACAGAAATTTCCATTTATCTCTTAATGTGTATTGGCTCTGCAGGATGGGTTAGATTTCTTCAGCCTGAACGTGTACTTGTAATGTTTTTCAAGTTGGAATGCATTTTTAAAGTCTTTGTGTTATTCTGCCTATCCCAAAGGACTACTGTGTCATTGGCTTCTGATAATTGAGTAGTTCTGGTTTGTGGTATAAAACTGAGCAAATATGAAATTCTGTTTTACAGATTGTGACTTCGTTTATCAAATTAAGCAAAGGAAAGAAAACAATTATTAGAAAGGCATGTTTGTAGTTTATAACATGAATGTTTTCTTTAGAAGAAGCTATCGTAATGACTATATATATATATCCACATATATTTTCTTTCTTTTAGACGATTTGTGCACTCATTTGTGGATGCCCCATTGTAAAGCCAGAGTATTTTACTGAATTCCTCCAAGCAGTTCAGTCCAAGAAACAGCCTCCACAAATAGAAAGGTATATTATGTGTTTCTAATTAACAACATATGACAGAAAAGATGAGCGCATTGACTTTCGGTTAACTCTCTGGAATTCTAGATGTGATAGTTGCTGTGTTCCACGTTTCTCTTGTGTGTGTGTATGTGTTCCATGTTAATGAAATTTTTTCAGTTAGTATGTAAAGAAAGAGTACCCCAAATTCTTAATTGGTTATTTCTTAGCTCTGTGAAACAGATGTTAACTGCTAATATATAACAAAAAACTGTTGAAGCATGGTAAATAGGTCAGCATTGCTCATGTGCCAGTGTCGGGGTCATGGGTGAGGTACCCTTGGTAGTGGGGCTGCAGCAACCCTCTTGGAGAACCACATATTTGGACCTAAATGTTGACAGCACTGGGCACTGCTTTTGTTACCTCATTTCAAAATGAGATCACTGACACAGTTTGGTAGCTCTAGATTAGTAATTCCATCTATAAAATCTGAGCACATGGCTTGCTCTCACCCTAATTGCTTGTTAAAAGAAATGTTGATTGTTGGTAATTGCAACAAAAGGTGGATGATACGTGCCAGATTTGTGAGCCACTAGACTTGGAGATCTGGCCTAGACTTGGAGTTTCTGGCCTTTTTTGTCTTTGAGGTGGCATCTGAGGACCTCAGCTGGTTTGTAGGAGCAGGCCAACTCATTCTAGTGCACCTGGACATGCTCCTCTCCTTTGCACTGGATTCAGGGCAGGCAGCACAGCATGCACTGTGTGTTTCAGCGCTAGGACAAACAGTCCACTCTGTGCTCCCTGAGATTGGGGATCCTGCCTTGTCTGGGACCAACCAGTCCTGAAAGCCTGGGGTTCTTGGTGACACCAAAGGCTGTTGGTTGGATCACCCCACATTTCCTGCCATGGGTGCGACTGCCTGTAACCTGTTAGACCCCTAACCTGCTGCCCAAAAGCCATCAGTGCCGCCAGATTGTACGATTACAAGCTTACATTGATTCTATAGAATGACTGGCTATTTCAAATGGCCTTAAGTTTAGGAGTGTTAAGCAAGTTAAGAATTTCCAAAGTATTTTTATCAGCATGTTGTAGTGTTACTAATATTTTTATTTTATAAGGATTTATTTATTCTTATTGGAAAGACAGATCAGGTTTATGACGAGAAAGAGAGACAGACAAAGATCTTCCATCCGCTGGTTCACTTCCCAAATGGCTGCAACAGCCAAAACTGAGCTGATCTGAAACCAGGAGCCAGGAGCTTCTTCTGGGTCTCCCAGATGGGTACTGGATGCAAAGGTTTTGGGCCTTCCTCTGCTGATTTCCCAGGCCAAAAGCATGGAGCTGGATGGGAAGTGGAACGGCTGGAACACAAATCAGCACCCATGTGGGATGCCAGTGCTTACAAGACAAAGATTTAACCTCTGAGCCATTGCGCCGGGCCCACTCATTTTATTGTTAGAGCAGTAACAAAGTGGTTCATGTTCATAAGCATGTCTTATTGCATACATATGTATGAGCTATGTTTTTATAAGACTGACAGGTATAGATTTGTTAATATCAGCATCACCTGAAACACATGGTTATGTGTTATGCTACATCACGATGGGTATGAAGTACTGGGTAACAGTGGTAGTTTGTGATTTTTGTCCTTCTACTTCCAAAAATTTATTTATTTTATTGGAAGGCAGATTTATAGAGAGTAGGGCAGAGAGAAAGATTTTTCATTCCACTGGTTCAATGTCCAAGTGGCCGCAATGGCCAGAGTTGAGTCGATCTGAAGCCAGGAGCCAGAAGCTTCTTCCAAGTCTCCAATGTGGGTGCAGATCCCAAGATGTTGGGCAATCCTCCAAGGCTTGTGCAGGCCACAGGCAGGGAGCTGGATGGGATGTGGAGCAGCCAGGACACAAAACTGGCAGTCAAATGGGATCCCAGGGCATGCACCACAAGGATTTAGCCATATGGGATCCCAGTGCTTTCAAGGCAAGGATTTAACCACTGAGCCATTGTGCCGGGCCTCCACATCCTCTTTTGATGTCACCTTCAGCCTCATACACATCCTTTGAGGTCCTGAGTGTGGACATGGTCACCAGGGGAAATGCAGAAGTAGGCAGGTGACAGAACCTTGGAGAGCCACTGTCAGCAGGGTTCTGTGGACGTTGTCTGAGATGCTGAGTCTCCTTTGTAGCTTGCTCTTTGCTTTTCTGCTGGCCCCATCCACGTGGCCTTTCATTTTCTGCCCTGGTGGCCCAATGTGGTGCTGACCTCCTCCAGAGTGGCCAGAAGAGGATCAGGGTAAAGCATACACACAGAGACGGCACAACAGCCTAGAATCACTGCCCATGTTACCTTGTGGATATTTGAAGATCTGGCCAAAGACTATCCAGTGCTGGTGACCTTGAAGGGAAAAGAGAGAAAGGAGGGAGGGAGAAAAGTAAAGAAGGAAGGCAGGCAGGCAGGCAGTAGTAGGTTCTTTTTTTAAATATTTATTTTTATCTGGGGCCAGGTGTGGTTGTCTAACAGCTAAAGTACTCACCTTGAACACACCGGGATCCCATATAGGTGCCAATTCTAATCCTGGCAGCCCTGGTTCTTATCCAGCTCCTTGCTTATGGCCTGGGAAAGTAGTGGAGGATGGCCCAAAGTCTTAGAATCCTGCACCCACTTGGGAGACCTGGAGGAAGTTCCTGGCTCCAAGCTTTGGATCGGCTTAGCTTCGGCTGGTGCAGTCTCTGGGGTGTGAATTATCAGATGGAAGATCTTCCTCTCTGTTTCTCCTCCTCTCTGTATATCTGACTTTGCAATAAAGATAAAATAAATCTTTACATCATGCATATGGCATAGGTGGGGGGCAGACCAGGCTGAACCCATTCACATCAACTGCTGGCGAATCTGAGCACCAGCATAGAGTGTGGGTCAGGCCAGTTTCAGTCACAACACATACTAGTGCACATTGAGGAATGCCAACGTGAGGTGAGCCGTACCAGATATGGTTGCAGTACCCAAACAGCACACGTGAGAACCGGGGAGTCGGGGGGGATAGAGGAGGTAAAGCTGACAGGGGAATGTTGGCTCCCCTGCTGGACAACCACTCCTACTGGAGAGCATGAGTTGGAATGTGGGCAGACCAGACTAGGCAGGGCTACAACACCTGTGGGCCTCATGTGAGCTAGACTTGGGGAAGGGCCAGGTTTGGCTAACTGTTCCGACTGGTGCAAACAAAAATTAGAGTGGGTGAGGGTTAGTTGGGCTTTGCCACATCATCAGATGGCAGAGGCTGGCACTGGAGGCCAATTCTGTTAAGTTAAGTGCCAGAACCACCTGGAGAGTGCACAATCCGGAAGTTGGCTTGGCCTAGTAGGGAGTTAGTGGGCACCTCCCTTGTGGGTAACCACTCCCACTGGAGAGCATGAAAACCAGGGCAGGGACAGGGGTGGCTAGACAGAAAGGCATCTGCAAGTGTGTGTGGGGGCTGGATAGTAGGTTGGTTGGGTTGAACTAGGCTTCAATGCCCATTGACAAGTACCAGATCTAAATGGGATGTGGGACAGACTGAACAAGCCTGCGGTACATACTGGCATGCATGGGAACCAGGGTAGGGAGCAGGCCTGGTGGGGGTTATGGGGAGTTGCCCCAACCATGCTGCAGCTTCCCCTGGATTGTGTGAGAACCGAGTATGAAGTGGGTAGGATCGAGCTGGGCTACAACACCCATGGTTCAAGTAAATGACAGGGCTGGAAACAGAACTGACCCAGCAATTGCAGCGACCAGCATGTGCATAAGCTGATTGGGGCGACAGACTGTGCTAGATCCTGTTCTTTCAAATTCACACAAAATCAGGTTTGGGATCACTCAGATGAAGTTTCTTTGGAGATCCCTCCAACTGCACGGCTGATCTCAGAACCCCAACCATGAAAAGACTGTGCCAGCCAGTGGACTCTGAATAGGTTTCATAGTGATTGGAATGGTGAGACTGGCAGCAATTCAGACCTGTTGAACTATCAGAACTGCAAGTGGAGCAACCAGGATTTGAACCAGTGCCTGTATAGGGTGCTAGCACTGCAGGTATAGGACTGGCTAGCTATGCCACTGAGCCTGTCCATTGTGATTTTTTTATTACATAAACACCTTTATTTCTGAAACAGATGATTACTACTCTTGCGTGTAATGAACATAAAATTTTTACCCATGACAAAGTCATATTCAGTGCCACTGTGTATCCTTTTTTCTTTTTCTTCTTTTGTTTTTTTAAAGATTTATTTTATTTTTATTAGAAAGGCAGATATACAGAGAGGAGAGACAGAGAGGAAGATCTTCCGGCCGATGATTAACTCCCCTAGTTAGCGCAACGGCCGATGCTATGCTGATCTGAAGCCAGGAGCCTCTTCCTGGTCTCCCACGCGGGTGCAGGGTCCCAAAGCTTTGGGCCATCCTTGACTGCTTTCCCGGGCCACAGGCAGGGAGCTGGATGGGAAGCGGGGCTGCCGGGATTAGAACCAGCACCCCGGGCCCGGCGCGGTGGCACAAGTGGTTAAGGTCCTCACCTAGCACGCCCGGGATCCCATATGGGCGCCGGTTCTAATCCCGGCAGCCCCGCTTCCCTTCCAGCTCCCTGCCCGTGGCCTGGGAAAGCAGTCGAGGACGGCCCAAAGCTTTGGGACCCTGCACCCACGTGGGAGACCCAGAAGAGGCTCCTGGCTTCGGATCGGCATAGTATCGGCCGTTGCACTCACTTGGGGAGTGAATCATCGGACGGAAGATCTTCCTCTCTGTCTCTCCTCTCTGTATATCCGCCTTTCCAATGAAAAAAATAATAAAAATAAATCTTTAAAAAAGAAAAAAAAATCCTAAATAACAAGTAATTTTATTTCTCCTTTTCCATCCCTTATATGACTCCATTAAAGAACGATGATGAGCTTCAGAAGATGGTGATGAACTTCAAGAAAAGTGAATTTAGATCATTGGTGGTTAGCTCCACTTCCAGAAATATGTTGGATGTAAATATTGATGATGGTCAACTGAAGGTTTTCAAGAAATTCAAAAAGGTTGGTATTTCTTTAACTATATCACAAGAGGGCAGTGTTTGAAATACTA